CTAAATGTTTGTGCATCTTGTATATATGACACAGCTATGTAAGTAATATTGTTTCAAATTATGCATGCATCATGGGTTGAAATTTCATTTAGGTGATTATATATTCTGATATTGCAGCCTCCTTTGGCTTCTGCTGTATACCTAGCTTTCCATACATCAATGTAGTCTGTGTTTCATGGAAGTCTTGATATCATAGAAATCTTGATATCAAGACATCTATGTTTCTACTCATGAATTATTCAGCTGACATTGTACCATCTTACCATCTCGGGCTTTCGGCAATTTTGACTTGCTATCATTATATGGAAATTCCCAAACCTCCGATGCAAGGTGGGCCTTCGGATTCATAAACCAAGCACGTTCCCAATTCACCCTTGCCATTTTCGTGTGAGATCATCGATAACATAATTCTAACCACAATATCAACATCATGTCTAGCCAAATCCAGTTTTGTGTTTTTCTACCTAGTTATCTTCTTCAATATGTTGTTGATGGCATTAGGCCAAGCATTGATGCTGAGCTATTTCTACGTACCGCCGCTACCACCAAAATCTTAGAGACAATCCTAGCGTTTTATCCCCATTTTCGTTTTGCTCCAAATGCACAACAAGATCGTGATCTTCTCCAAAAGATGTTTGTTGGCATGGTTGCCCCACGTTTATCCAATATAATCATACCTACTCAGCGCGTTCCAAACTACACGCAAGCCCCATCAAGTACCCCAATGTGCGAAGTTCCCAGATCTACGACCACGGTGGACTCCGTTGATGATATCGACGTCAATCGGATGGCGTTGTTCAACAACTTTTGTCTTACGTACCTCAAGAATGGGCAGTACCGTCTTGCTGCTGAACACCTCAACCGCTTTCTCGATACTTACGAGTTCTTAACCCAAGAAGAGATCAATGTGATCATGGAAGCTCAAGCTGGTGCCGAAGAAGCCCTCCACGACAGTTCATGCTACCTTCAAGATTGCCATCAGTCCATCAAGGGCATACAGCTTCGATTACGTGAAAGTGATCTTCCACCAACCAAACGCCAAGTGCTTGAGGAGCGGCAGAAAACTTTGATCATTTCATTGAGATCTAATCAGCGGTTGTTTAGTAATTCTATCCAAGATGTTGGATTTGTTGCAGCGTTGGCTGACTATCACAAGTAATTCTCTTATATCCAGTTTGCAAATTTGACTTCTGTGAACTGATATCGTATTTATCACTAGGAACATCCTGGCTAGCCGTCGACCGGTTCCTTCTAAGTAAATTGTATCATTTCAAGATATCAAAAAGGTACTTGTTCATCCTACTCCACCTCGATATCTTTGAAAACATGCAACTGAGACATACTTTTGGCTTTGACTTTCTTATCTTTCATCACGTCATTCTGAAATTACATGTAGCTACTTTATTTTGTCACCTTGAAGCTGAGAAAGTCTTAAATAATTGAAAAACAGCAATCCGACACATCAAGCTTGTACATTGAAATCTATGAAAGTAGACCCAAACTTAATTGAGCAGATTTTACTACACCTTATGGAATTTTTGACATGAGAATAGAACCAAAATAGTCTTTGAGTGCACTATTGCGCATGAACTCATGTATCTATGTATGAATCCGTTGTTTGAGTATCTCATTTGTCCTGCATTTGTTCTGTGCAGAATGTACGTGCGTTTGGATACCTGTGAGCCAATTGGTTTTCATCCCTGAGCGATATTGATACCCCCAGTAAGCTGCGCACTTGAGTGATTAAGCTTGAAGAATGTTCATGCGGCCTGATAAAACCTCTGACTTCAGTCCCGTGTCATACAGTTTGCTGCACTTCAAGTTCCAACTCAATAGCCCGGTTCAAAAAAGCTCGGAAATAAACAATATGTATTACAAGATATTGATAACCTTCAAAAGACTAAGACCAAGACAAAGTGAAAAGAACTAAAAGTGTATCTAAGCTAATGCCACCAGGGCAAAACAACAGAAAAGGTTACAAAGATTATGTCATCTTTAGGAAATTACCAACAACCAATTGTGTATGATATATGAATTGTCAAACACTATAGTCAGATTGACTGTCAACTCCAGGTTGATTGTAGCCGACTTCTCTGTCTGAATCCTCTTCACCTTCGTCTGAATCCTCTTCACCTCCGGCATGCTGCATTAGCCGCACAATACATTGTTCCTGTGTTTGAATGTCTTGTTCGCATTTGTTGCATCGGCGCTGCAGAAGATGCAGCTGCTCTTTCAAACTGGAGACGGTATCCTTGAGATCATCGATACATTTGGCTTGATTATCAAGACGACGTGCGGCTTCCTGGAGTGCATGATCTGTAAAGGAAATGAAATGAAAAGAAGAGTAAGTAAAAATCTTAACCTTCAAATTGAGACACACACCTTGCTCGTATCTTTGTTGTTCGTTTTGAATGATACTAGCAACTGATGTTTGCTCCGCGGCATCCATCCTTTTCAACAGCTGAGACACGGATTCCCGAAGCCCAGAAACTGCTCATGTCTCCCCATCAGTGTGTTTCATGTGCCAGAAGTACAGCGGATTGTACCTATCTCTGCTCGACGTCTTTCTTCGTGGAATACATCCACACCCGATTTGATTGTTGATGTAGTCATTTTGCGCTTTTTTTTGTCCTCCGTGATAGCTGTGCATGAGGCAGAATCACTATGAGGCTTTGAAATAGGAAATTAAATTGTTATCACTGACCTAGATCTTCAACACCAAGCAAATCCACACCTGAGAGATCGATGAGGTCTTGCATTTCAGGAGTGTCTGGAGTATTGATGATGTCATTGCTTCCAATCATTTTCGAGCTGGATTGAATTCTAGTCGAAGTGCTTGGTAATTTCATATGTTCTACTTCATAAGATTGTAAGGCTTTGAGATCTTCCTTGTTGACAATGCCCAATAGGTCGGTACACGACTCGTACAAAGCTGGTGTCGACTTGCGCGGTATACAATGTGATGGTTTGCTCGAACCTAATAAAGGATAGCTCTTTGCTACCCGCTGTGAATGACAAGTTGGTCGAGGATGATAGACGGGGTGATCAGTAGAGATAGGAACATGGATGGCCAACCAATCTCACCTTCTTCTGTTTCTTCACAGTTTTACTTCGAGATTGACTCAGTCCCTCGTTATCTAATAAATATTACACACGGTTCGAGTTGGCCAAGTGACTGTTAGCACTGGCTATAAAAATATGATCTCTGGGGATGAAGCCGCGTACCCAAGTTAGCACGCTTAGAAACCTGTCCGTTTGGAGTGGGGGAACCAGGTCGCTTGAGTTGCCCTTCGGATACAGTCGATGACCGCACAAGCTCTTCAGGCAAATCGACTGGCAGAGCTAGTTTGTCACTCACTCATCAGCATCAACAGATCAAAACTGACAGGGTGTGAGATCAAGTCACCTACCAAAGGTGGCACGCTTTGAGGGT